TAGATTGAAAATATCATAAAATTTAAATTTTATTTAGTATATTTTGTATAATACATTAATTAATATAGCATTTAATCTAATTTAAATTATACATATTAAATATTTTAACATAGTATTAAATATAATATTTATGATTGATACTAATAAAACATTTAATGTCACAATAAAATGTAGTATGCAATGTCATATTCAATATTATACTAATATAATATTAAAAATTATATATCACCGATGAAAGTTGATTCGAGTGACAAGCGGGTTAGTATTACTTACTCAAGTTGAATCTAGATTAAACCAAATAAGAACAAAAATAAAATTTTAATGTATTTTTAAATATTTGGTTTAAAATTTATTTTAGTGTCCATGTAAAATTTATATTTTTAATTTGGTAGAATTATATAAAAGGTTGGTTGAAATGTCTTTAAATTAAAAAATGTTTCTTAAATAGTTTATGTTATTAACTTTTATATGACAAAATCACTGTATTTATAAACTCTTTATTTTTCCTTTTAATTCTTGTAGATAACGTTTTTTTTTTTGTTATCGTTCTTATATATAACATGTTTTTTTATTATAAGGGTAATTTATGTACTTCAAACAATTTAACGGTATATTAATGTGATTATATAAATTATTATAAGAATATATATATTTACGAGTTAGTTAAAATGTATTTTGGTGTATTTTTGTACTCTTGAGAATTTATTTAAGAATAAATTTTATATGCAGTTTCTTAAATATTTTTGGTGGTTTTACCAAACAAAATTAGTATCAACGTGTTTAATGCTGATCTTTATTACACTGGTTATCAAAATAAAATTTTAATTTTATCTAGAAAATAACACTAAAAAAACTATATTTATTATTTTGCTCATAAAACAAGTAATTTACTATGATTGATTGTATTTAATTAACATTAATACTTTAAAATTAATTCACATTCTCTCCATATAATATTTTATAGTGAACGTAATATATATATATATATATATATATATATATATATATATATATATATAACTGAAATTATATTTAAAATCTTAAACCTTAGAACTGGTAAATCATCTTTTGCAATCTTTCATAAATATCATAGCATTTTTTTAACATGTTTCTACAGTATGTTTTATTTTGGTTTATGTATATGACATCTTTTTTTATTTTAGTCCCTATTTGAGATATAAAAAAAACATTTTGATCTTTAATTTTTTTGTAAAAATTAAAATAAAAACATGTTCTACTTCTATTCAATATGCATTTGTTTTTAAAATTAAATTTTAAAAAATATTTATGATATATCCATCATAATGCCCTATAATCGTACTAAAAATGTAATATATAGAGTTGTAAATAAACAAGTATGAAATAATAGTAATAAAATAAAAAAATAAAAATTTATTAAGTCAAATAATAGAAAATACTAAATATAGCATTTATTATTATATATTAATATTAAATATTTTAATACTATATTAATTCATTAAAGACACTCTTAAAAGCACTCCGGTTGAAGATTATCCGATAATTACTTCCGTTGAAATTTAATACTCACAGCGTTAAATATTATTAAATCAAATAACATAAAAGATAGAAAATTAGTTTTTTTTGACTTAGTTTAATATTTTTACCTAAATAAATAATAAATAAGAATATCATAATTTTAAATTTTATATATTATATTTTATATAATACATTAATATAGTATTCAATGCTAATTTAAATATTTATATTAATATTTTAACTCTATTTTAATATAATTTTTAATATAAAATGTTATTATATTAGAATAGAACATTTAATGTCATATTATATAACGTTATATTCAATTTTGTATTAATATAGTATTGAATATTATATATCAATATAGTATTTAATATTATACTGAAAAAAGATTCACATTTATTAGTAGGGTTTTTTTTAATAATTTTTAATTAAAAGCGTTTTTACTTAAGGTAATGAATAATGTAATTTCTTTTATTTTCTCTTTAATTAACACGATGCACTTTACATATATGTATGTAAAGTATAATTCTAATATATTTTTAAAGTTTTAGTTTAAATGTTATTTTGTCCTTTATACTAAATTTTAATTTCTAATGTGGTCCATTTATATAAAATGTTTATAAACAATTTCTTAAATACAAAATATTTTTAAAATAATCTCTATTGTTAACTTTGGTATAACATCATTATTTTATATTTAAATATTTTATTTTATTTTGATCCATGTGTATGATATATTTTTTCATTATAATTCTTATACGTAATATATTTTTATTTTAAGAGTAATTTTCTTAATTTAAATAATATAATTTTAGATTAATGTGATTATAAGAATTTTTATGAGAATATTTATTAAAATCATATTTTTTTTTCTAAAATTAATATAAACATCTAATTTTTATATCTAAAATTTAAAAACATTATAATAATTAAAAATAATATTTTATTATATTTAAATAAAAATAAACATGAATTATATAAGATTTAAAATTTAAATTAATATTAAAAATAAAGATAAATATATAATATAAAATAATTACTTGACATGTTAAAATAAATTCTAAATATATTTCTATTTAAAGACACTCGTAGAAGCGCTTCTGTTGAAGAGATCACTCTTCAAATTACTTTCGTTCAAAATTATTACTCCAGTTTATATATTAAAGTTAAATATTATTAAATTAAATAACATAAATATAAAAAAAATTAACTTAGTTTGATATTTTTACATAACTAAAGAATAAGTCGAAAATAACGTCATATTTAAAATTTAATTTACTATATTTATTATACTACATTAAAATAGCATTTAATGCTAATTTAAATTAAATATATTAAATATTTTAACACTATTTTCATATAAGTATTGAAAATAACCTTTATTATTATATAATAATACAACATTTAATGGCATATTATTTGAGGTTATATTTAAATTTTGTATTAATACAGTATTAAATATTATATATCAATGTCGTATTTAATATTATCATTTTAGTAGTAATTTTTTTATATTTTTAATATATATTAAATTTCATTTTCAAATTATTATTTTAATTAAGTGAACGTGATATATGTGTTCGTATCATATTTTACTGTTTTAGTATGAAAGCATTGCAATTTTCTTTTCTTATCATATTTTACTATTTTAGTTTGGAAGCAATGCAATTTTCTTTTCTTTTCTGTTTAATTAATAGGATGCACTTTATCATATTTTGAATTATATATAAGGTATGATTTTAATGTAATTTTTAATTTAATATTATTTTGGCTCGTATACTAAATTTATATTTTTAATTTGGTCAATTTATATATAAGGTTTCTAAACAAATCCTTGAATAGGAAAATTTTTCTAAATAATTTTTATTATTAACTTTTGTATAACACCATTATTTTTTATTTAAACATATTTTTCCTTTTAAGAGTAATTTATTTATGTTAAATAATGTCATTATAAAAATTGTTATGAGAATATAATATTTAAATATTTAGTAAAAAGCATTTTGGTGTATTTTTAGTACTTTTGAGAGTTTAGCTAAAATATTATTTAAGGATAAATTTTATACTTAGTACCTTTTTAAAATTATTTTTTTGTGCTTGTCTATTAAAATTATATATTTATCTTTGAAATTAGTATAAAAAAAAAGTAATCCACAATGACTATATTCAATGGCTTTGATACTTAAAAATTAATTTACATTCTTTTCAGATAATATTGCATAGTAAATACAAAAAATAAATAAATTTTTTATTTAAATTTAAAATGATTTTAATAATTATGTTAAACTACAATGATGTTGCTTAAAATTGATAAATTATGATTTTTTCAAACTCTTATAAATATTACATTTTTTAACTTGTTTCAATAGTATATTTTATTTTGATTTTACATATAATTTTTTTATTTTGATATTTAATAAAATAATATTTATATTTTGATCTTTAAATTTTTTCTTTTTTGAATTAATATTTTTTTTTATACTTTTGTAGTTTTATACAAATAATTAATTCGAGTTATATAGATTATTACATATTTTTCTCAGGATAAACTTGAGGAGAATATTTAAAGAAGATTTAATATTTTTTTAAAAAAATACTTAGTTAAGGAAGGAAAATATTGAAAATTTATTTAATACAAAAGTATTTTTATTAAATGCTTCACAATTTTTTATTTTTATTAAATAAAAATCCATAATTTAGTATTTTTCTTTAAATATTGTATTTAAAATTCAAGACATTTCGAAGAGTAAAATAAAAAGGTTTTTAAAAACTTATCCATGACATGTTTAAGGAAATGAATTACGTTGAGTGGAGTATATTTTTCTTAGTTGGCGTGAGTTTTAAATATTCAAAAAGAATTACACTCTTAGTTTTCATGGTAGGATTCTTATTGATTTTAAATATTTTATTTTTATATTAATAATATTGATTTATATACATAATTAATTTATGCTATAAATTTTATTTATATATATTTTTCTCAAAAGCATCTTAAGAATAATAATTAAATAATATGAATATTTTAAATGTTTAAGTTTAAGAAATTAAAATAGTGGATTTTATTATATAAAAATTTTATTTTCATTAAATACTTTAGATTTGTATTTTTTTAATTAGGTATAAATGAATAATATAGTAATGTTATTTAATTATTGCATTTGGAAAGCTATGTCGTCTTAAAATAGTATATTATTCATTTGGAAAGTTTATTATAAAATAGTAATTAAATATTTTATATTTTCTAAAATAAAAAGGAAAATGAAAAAAATTAAATACTGTTTAAATTATTTATTAATTAAAATTAGAGTTTTAATTATCACAGATTGCTTAATAAAACTCTAAAATTAATTGCAGGGAAAAAAGTGCACCCACGTTTTGTCCCAAACTAAATCCTCCTCGCTCCTGCTCGTAGTATATATATATATGTAACCCTCTTCTGTATTTGCACACTTCACCTAAAATTGTTACTTTGTGTTAAGAACAAGTGAGTTCAATTCCCAATGGAATCAGGTGCTGCAGCTGTTGTGGTCTCTCCTTCATCAAAGGGGTTGAAAGATGAGAATGAGAATGAGCGTAGTTTTGATCTCAAATTGCTGCACAAGGAAGCTGATATTCCCAAACAATTCATTTGGTCAGCTAGTCACTTAGTCAAAGGCAGTTCAGAAAAGTTGGACACACCCTTTATTGACTTGAAAGCCATAAAGGGTGATGAGGCTGCCATGGCCACTGCTGCAGAGCTTGTGAGGAAGGCATGCATGAAGCATGGTTTCTTCGAAGTCACCAACCATGGTGTCGACCTGAGTCTCATCAATGCTACTTATCAAGAATTTGACTCTATTTTTAAGCTTCCCTTGAACAAGAAGCTTGGTGCTAGGAAGAACCCACTGGGCTACTCATGTGGTCTTTCTGATCGTTTCTCTTCCAATCTACCATGGAAGGAGATATTTACTTACCGATACAACTATCTCCATCACTCTGACTCACAAGTTGTTGACTTCTTCAACTCTATCTTCCATGAAGACTTTCAAGGCATCGGGTAAGGATCTTAAATATTAATCTCATCATTAGGAAGATTTCATAAAACCATGTATGAAACTCATTAAATTATATAGATTAAAATTCATATGATTTTAAGTCGTTTATCATGGACTTGATGGAAAACACAATTATTCTAGTTTTGCTTTTGATATACTCAGATGTCAACGTTGATTTGTCATGCATTATCAAATCACCAACACAACAAGTTTAATTAACTGATATGCACTGTATTGACCAACAATTTCCTTGAATAACGTGTCTTTTTAAATGGAATAGGCTGGTGAATCAGAAGTATTGCGAAGCAATAAAGAAATTATCTATGGATATTTTAGAGCTATTGGCCATTAGCTTGGGTGTAGATCGCTCTCATTTTCAAAGATTTTTTGAAGATTGTGAAGGAATAGTGAGGGGAAACTCTTACCCACCATGCAAAAACTTCAACCTCACCTTCGGTGTGGGTCCTCACTGTGATCCAACCTCAATAACCATTCTTCATCAAGACCAAGTTGGGGGTCTTGAAGTTTTTGTAGATGGCAAATGGCTGGCTGTTCCCCCGCGATCTGAAACACCTGATGCCTTTGTCATAAACATAGGCGACACTTTTACGGTATGCAAACTAGTCAATTTTTATTCTATTTATTATTATCATAGAAGGGTCGAATAGTTAAACCCAACCTACTTATGTTATACAACGTAATGGTGCAAAGAGAAAGATTAAGATCCAGTTTAAATTAGCTTACTTATATGATGATTTTAACATAGGTAAACTGTGTAATTTATTTTATCTCTTCAATTTATTTTATAGATTTATGCGTTCGTTAAAATGGTCATTAAAATTCACTTTAAACTAATATAATCAATAAGTCAGCATTTATGCAACAAAGTATGATTTTAAGACTTTAAATTATTTTATAAAAATCTTCATATAAAACAATTGTTTTACTTAATATAATAATCAAATCCATTCATGTATTATGAATTTAGAAACAAGAGTTTTTTCTCATTATAGAAAGATATATGGTTGATGATAACTGAAATCAGTCTTTTTACCTCTCTCTTTTTTATATTTTATTATATAAATAATATTTATATATTACTTTTCTTATTTTTCAATAGTAAAAGCCATATAATGTACTGTGAATTATTTTTATTTTTAAAATAAATAGCATAAAATTGATGTACATAATTTGTTTACATATGTCATTTTGTAATAAGCAAGGGAAGATAAATTTTCTATTCAGTAAAAGATAGAACACAAAAAGGAAAGAAAAAAAATTGATGTAGGATTGGTAACAATCTTTTTTTTCTCCCTTGAAATGATTTTGAAGGAAGAAAAGAAGAAAAAAAGCTCATTATTCAAAGAGTAGTTTTACATTATATAAGGATTTCAATTTTTTTTCTAAATAAACAAAAAACAAAAGTCATTTATTATTTTCCTTTCTATATTAAATTTTTCTCTGCTTTCAAATGAAGTGTAAATGTCTTTTCGAACGTATATTTGGTATTGTATTTAATATTATCTACTTGTTGTTTCACTTTTCTTATGTATACATACATAAGAAAAATAATTTTCAAAATTAAAATATAACAAAGCTTCTACAATCATCTTACAAAAACATTATTCTAACACCAATCAAAAGGGAAAAATAGATAAATTAATAAATATAATTCAAGTGTGTTGTCCAACAGTGATAAATGATGCATAGATGATTGTATTTGGGAGGAATCGAAGTGGATAATGGTTTGTTTGGTTGTCTGTTGTAGGCATTATCAAATGGGATATACAAGAGTTGCCTCCACAGGGTGTTAGTGAACGAAGAGGTGGAAAGGAAGTCTCTTACTTTCTTTATGAACCCAAGAGGAGACAAAACAGTGCGACCACCAAATAATCTGTTTGAGAATGAGGAGCAAAGGAAATATCCAGATTTCAAATGGTCGGAACTGTATGAGTATACGCAAAAGCGTCAAAGGGCTGATGCGGAGACACTTCCAAATTTTGTTACATGGCTTCGTGCTTCCAAGCCATCCAACTTCTAGTTATTACATATATACTAGTTTGGATGCTATTGCTGATGAATATGGCATCTTCAATCAAGTGGGATACCCTCTTCTTCACCATCAACTATAATTATGTGTGCACTTGTCAAATGGTTGCACAAACATATTCAGTTCATGTCATGTCTTATTTTCTACCAGTTTTATATCTGCATAAAAATAACAATTTTTACATCTACAAGTCAAATTATATCAGTACTGTTTTGTTATAATGGCAATTTTAGTTGGAATGAAGATATTATTATATTTTTTATTGGCTTTTGAAATCATTGGAGATAAGGATTTTAATGAGTTTTCAATTTTTCTTTCTACTTATTAATAATTTTGTTGGTAGAAATATGGACTTAATTTTTATTTATTATCCGTTTCCTGTTAACAAACGCATGCATAACAATTTTGAAATCTTAATAGTTATAAAGATATATATTGCAATTTTATTTGCTTGATTTCTTCTTTGAAACCGTTCTTTATAATATTTTGGGCATTTTTTTATGAAGACTCTACTGTGCTCTTTGCCTTGAGCACAGGAGTGTAGGCACTTAGATCGTCAAGTTTGAGAAGTAAACGTGGATATCAAATTGTGTGAAAAATATGTCAGTATTTTATTTTCAAGACAGTTGTTCTACTACATCACAAGTTATTTTCATCAAATTTTGAAACATGGATTTTTAATTTATTTAGCAATTTGCTTCTTCACTGAATTTAACTATTACTTAATTGTTGAATTTTTTTTAACCAGTACATATATTTACTATAAGGGAAAAGAACATTTGTTTGATAAAATTTTCTACATTTATTTGTTTAGGGAACACTCAAATCAAATGGAGAAAGAAAATGATCACATACAACTTAAAAGGAAAAATGAAATTAAATAATTCCATAAATGAAGAAAAAAATTATAAATTTAAATGATGATGTTTCCTTACGAAAGATTATTTTACTAATAAAAATAGAAAAGTGGATCTTAGAGGCAAAAAAATCATTTTTCTTTTGTAGTTCAAGGTTGTCTGCTTTTGATTTAAGAAAAACAGAAAAAATGAAAATTGACAAACATAATATTTGAAATGTTATAAAAACTGTTAAATGTAGTCACAGTTTATTAAGCGACGTGAAAAGAAATATTTGACTCAACTATATTACAAATTATATTGTATGATTATAATATTATTATATTTCTAAATCATATATTGTTTTTTATTAAATATTATTAAAATTAACATATTTATTATTTAGTCATTAATCTTACATGATTAAATATTTATGTGAAAACTGATGGACTCAATTTAGGAATGGCAAATTATGTTTGACAAATGCACCAATTAATTTAAATAAGTATAGAATTTATCATTCTCACAAGGATTAACTTTTTTTGGCTTAGCAATAATGTAGAGCTTAGCTAACACAGATTTAACAAACATGTTTTTGAGGTTTTCTTTCAAATTGATAGAAATCAAAACAAAAATAAAAACACAAAAGAAAAAAGAAAAAAGCAATAACATAGAAATGTAACTATGGAAGGTTTCTATGATAAAATTTGAATTTACAAGATTAAAACGCAGAGATTCAAAAGCTAAATACATATTTGGACATTAAAATGCAATTAAATATTTTTAAGATGAAATGTGACAACACGTTGATATATTGAATGTAGGAAAAGAAACAAACCAAACAAATTAAAATGTACTTGAATAAGTAGAAATTTCATACACAAATGGATAAGAATAGGATTTTATCAATGATTTCACTTCATGCTACAATATCTTAAATTCAATTCTATAACGTCATGATCCAATTCTTTGGTATAGTCTGGCTCAATTTCTTAATACAAAACATTCTTAATAAAAAATACTAATTCTTAGTCAAAAAACTTAATTTCTTAAGATAATTCAACTTCAAAACAACAATTAATTACATGAATCATTAATGATAAGCCTGTAATTAGGCCCTCTTTTATAACCTAATTATTCATATTTGACATTTATTTAAATTGAGTTTTACACTAATTTAGTTGTTAAATTGCGCAGTTTGATATTAAAAGATCATGAGTAGATTTTGGGTACATTTTGAGCCCAAATGAATGGGCTTCAAAGCCTCACAGCAACAAGCACGTCCAATGAATCATGGGGGTGCTTCTTTAATATGCACGACCGTGCTTTACCATCATGCACGGTCGTGCTTGTTCGCGGTAGCCACATTTACCAAGTCAAAGGAGTTCAAATGATATAAATAGAGGGGAAAAAGCATTGTGAAGGGAGACCTTTGGCAAAGTAAAAATTTACATAGAACTTTTTCTTCGAGATTTCGGATCATTTCCACCCTTCTCATAGGATCGCTGGCACATCCTTGGTGGAACTTAAAGCTTCAAGTGACCATACTTGAAGACCGAAGATTCATTTCCTATTCTAGTTTGCTTTACTGCTTTATTATGGATATGTTATTGATTGTTTTAGTTATTTTCTTTAGCATGAGTAACTAAATCCATAGCTAGGGCTATGTGAATTATTGTTTATGACTTTATGAGATTCTGATATTTGAATCTAAATATGATTTCCATTTCGTGATTAGGATTTATCTTATCGTTTCTAATTCTTAACCCCAATTAATTACATCGTCAGGCGATCGTACCTCAGGTAATTAATAGATCTATAGGATAAAACGAGAGGAAAGATTAGGTAGACCAAACCAATCTTTATCTTCTAATCGTTATTGAATTAACAAATTCATAGACTCCTTAGGCTTTTTCTGAATTAATAACCTGCATGACTATTGGGGATATGAACTTGGAGAAAAGAATATTAATACTGCATGACCATTGAGTATTAATAATATTAGCATGAATGATTAGTAATCACTAGGAAATCAGATTTAGATCTAAATAGAATAATATCATAAAGGATTGAATGAGAACACCCATAAGCCCTACGTTCTTCGCCTATAAAGTTTAACCAAAACGTGCTTTGTGTTTCTTGCTTTTAGTTTTTACAATTGATTTTATAAATTCTCATCGTGATTAATCTCACATATTTGAAGCTCAAATAATTAAATTAGGAAAACTCTTAGTAATTAATAAACAATCCTTATAGGACGATATTTCAAAAACTGAGTTGAAAACCTTTTATTACATCTCGATGGATACACTTGCCCTTCGAACAATTAACAATTACATAAAACCTTAACCTTTGTCTAGATAACCACAAAAGAGTGAAACTTACTTCATATCTTGAGCATACAATCAATGTTTCCACTACATAATATGCTTACAATTTCATGCATTTGATTGGCCAAATTAATAAAATATTAAAAAAATTAATGAAATATTATGAACAGAAGTAAAGTAATTCAATTCATCATAAAAATCTGAATTGAATTGAGAATAAATAAAATTACATGATGTTGATCCAAAATTCATCCTATCCTAATCTATAAAATTAGAAATTCATTGCAAAAACACAACAAATAATGAGCATGGAAGATATATTTATAAAGATTACCTCTATTGAAGCTCGATCTTTGCATCTAAAGTATCTTATTTTAATCTCACACGAACGGAGAAGAGAGAGAATGATGAGTTTCTATTTACAAAAATGAAAAAAAAAAAAAAACTGGAAAACAAAAATTGAAATTTTAAAAAATGGAAAAGTTCTCTATAGACATTCAATAGCTCTATTGTGCACCCATATTATCTTTGGAAGTCGACATATATTTTAATTCTTGAAAAGTTATTGTCAATTCTAAAATTCACCAAATGTTAAGACATTCAAATTGAATGTTTGGACTCATGTTTTGTTATGAGAGTTCTTCTTAGAAGGATGGATGATTATAAGCTGCATGTTCCAACTTTCACTTCTCTTCTTACTTTAAACTAGTTGCTTCATTTGCATTATAATTGCTTTCAAATTGATTCACATACAGTCTACTTATAAGAATGCACAAAAATTAATCAATTTAGTCTAAAAAACTATAAGTAAATATGTTTTCTTTTCATTTTGTTCTGTGCATAATTTCATTATTTTGGTGTTATTTTTATACAATTCAGCATCATTTTCTATGTTATCATCTTTATAAATCCACTTAAAATGTGGATTCATTGTAAATTCTTATCCTATTTATTATCAATCTATTATAGAATATACTTAATATTCATGACATTTTAAGAGTGAAACATTTTTCAACCTTATATCATATTAACTGGGACACTAATAGATTGCATTTTGCAAAATAAGATGGGTCGAAATTACCCATTTTATCATTTGTGTAAGCTTGACACCCTCCTTATAAAGAAGATATAAAATAATGTTTTTATTTACATGGTTAATGTGTCAAAGGATGACTATGGCATATGACACATAAATGACAACTACAGTTGCGATTAATGTGGCTAAAAATTTGGCAACAAATATTTGTTTTTTTTAACATGTTATAAATAGAGATATCATAATAATTTATCCAAACTCTATCTATTTTCATCACTAATTTTGAATGGAAAGTTGCTACTGTTAAATATTTATTTGAGAGAATGAATGTCAAATATGCTTAATGTAAATATTTTGTATGGAATTTTTTAGTTTAAATTTGTTTAGTTTTAACAAAATTAAGGAATTTACGTTGAATTTATGTCTTAGATTAATGCTTAAATTTTTAAACTTAGTCAGTAAAACTTTTAATGCTCTTTAATTGAGAATTAATTTATGTTTGATTGATGCTCAATTAATCAAACATGAATCGTTCATGTGATTAATTAGCTGATTTTTGACACAAAGGATAAGTCTAATCAAGGTTGTGCTAATTTTTGTTGATACCGTTATTGATAGTCTTTGTCTATAATTCTATTGTTTTTTTTTATTTAAAATACATCAAATTCTCCTTTGTTACACTCTTAATTTGACTGATTAGGATTGAAGTACTCATAAGAACTATCGGGCTAAATGGTAATGAACCTTATACCAAGAGTAATAACATTTAGTGTATTAAGTGAAAATGATAAATAAAATAAATATAATACTTCCTCTTACTTATACTTGATGTGACTTAATACAAATGCACATATCTTAAAAAAATAATTTTAATAATTATTATAATAGGACAAATTGTTTTATTAAAATACTCATATTAAAAATATTAAAGTTATATAATACATAAGTTAGGTGATAATCTTACGATTAGTTGACAAAAAGATATCTTTAATATTTATTTAAAATCTACATTAAGTTATACTTATTTTATAACATAAGTTGATATTTTTATTTTTGTAATTTCAAGTTGTAAATATTAAAAAATTCATCTCCCAGTAATTGATGACATTAAAATACGTTGAACAAAGTTTTTTATTTATTGAGATTTTCAATAATTGCCAAGTTTTTCTATAACATATGTTTATTTATTTTTTATAATTGTCAAGTAATTGATGACATTAGAATACGTTGAACAAATAAATTGAATTTTCCTAGCTATAACAAGTTAGAGCCCCTACAAGATTCCCTACAACTCAACAGTCAAAGGAGGGCAGGGGTCCAAGGATTTGTAGAACCCGATTATGAATTTTCCTGTGTTGTCTCAAATAAAGTCTCCATAACTAGCTGAATCAGAATCTTGAGCAATTGAGACATCGGTGTTAAGTTTTCTTTTTCTTCAGTTTTACACCTTTGCTAAAGGTTTTCTTTCAGAACTGTATAGTTCTAATTTTTTCATTGTACTAGAGAATACATCGAAAAATAAATAAAAATTATTAGATCTAATTATTTAAGGATTTTTTTCCCAGTTTTTAAAATTAAATATAAAAATTAAAAATAAAATAAAACTTTAATATTTACATTTTTTAGGATAACTTTTTTTACAGACACCATAAAGTATCAACACCTTCCATACATGTAATTAGATTACTGCATTCTAATCCTGTTAATCAAACATTTTTTAAATTTTCTAGAATTGTTTAAAAATTCTTGTGGTTCTTTGATCTCTATTTTTGTATGTTCTACATTTGATTCACCTTTTTATTTTTCTCTTGCGTTGGGTTGCAACAATTAATTTATCCAAAATACTAAATAAATATAAAAATGGTTTTAATACAAAATTACAAATTAAAATATACAATAACTTTGCAAAAATTAAAATACTAAATTATCCTTGTTTGATCTTCAGTAATCTTGTGTCATATATTGTGCTCTGAACATGTTATAAGAGCACCGAGCATAGACGAAGTAATTTTGTATGAATCTTGCGAATCAGTTAAATTTGATATGCTTTTTTCTGAATCTAGTGCATCTTTCTCGTTGATGTGAATAGCCAAAAGGAAATACTCCAGAAATAATAAGAGGAAAATAAGGGTATCCGACATGTGGACAAAAATGGTCCTACACTATCCTTTCATTATTATGCCAGGGAACTAGTTCACTAAAAGTAGGGGGACATCTTCAAAGCATAACACAAGCCCAGAATATTTTGAAAGCTATGTAATAGGTAACAATTGAAAAGAAAGAACACATATATGCTTTTTGGCTTAAAACATGAGCATACATAATTGAAATAAAGTAATAAAGGAAAATCATAATATGATAATGGAGGGTTTCCTCCCAATTATGGAGTATAACAAGGATCGTTAATGTACTTATCCCCCACAAAAAAGAATAATTTGTGAAAGAATTTATTTGGCATTTTTCTTGCTCTAACTTGAATTTGTACTTGTTTTGATTTTTCTTGTAATTTTGAGTAGCGTTGTTGAATCTATTGCTTATATTATGGGGTGATCCTGTATATGACTTTTTGTTCTCTTCTAATCTGAGTAAGAACCATGAAAAGTCAGTCCTTAGACCACCTCAACGGAAGCATCTCAGTTATATAAATGTTCCCTATCAGCACGCATTCTCTCTCTTCCTCAAACAAGGAATAGTGGAAGGTTCAAATTTATCGAATGTTTTAAATAAAGCTTAATTATCTGATTTTGTGGTAATCAATAAGACTAGTAATATGGATTTCACGACTTTCATGTGAAAATATCTAGCAATAAACAACAACAACGTAGTGGAAAACATGGCCGTATTTATAAGAAAGGACCTTCGTCCATGTTTAATCTTCTACAATAACTGCGCCAAACAAGCTGTTTGCAGAAGAAATATGCAAAGGAAGTCAGTGAAAGTTGAAAGTTCCTGTCTCAGTCTGCATCACCTGAGATAGAAATATGATAAAATGTGTCATGGAGCTCTGAGATTGAATGACTTGTGCTGCTAACATGTCAATATTTTTTAATAACTACAGAGAAAAAGTAATGACGGCTAAACTTTTCTCACCAAAATTTCTTGGTGTTTTGCACTTGAAACATTCTGTCCTGCTGGCGTAGTTATGAACTCCGCAGCCAATTCTGATACATAAGGAGCAAAGAAAATAAAGGTTATGGTCCTTACTCTCTCATCGTTTGTTGTTGTGATCAATAAACATGTCAATACGCAAGGCTATGTTTAACTCTCTTGATGGAAGAAAAGGAGCAGTACTCATAATTCAATATATGAAAAATGAAATGCAGCTTTGGTGGGTAAACTTAGTTGCATGTTTTTAAATTATAATAATAAATTTGATGATTGTTGGATGTGGCAACAAAATGCAGGTTTATTGAGTAAATGTGGCTAAGAAAATTGCACCAATAGAAACGAAACGATTTTAGTGCTCAAAATATATGTTGATAATGTGAACTGACCTACTGCAAATCCAGTCACCAGTCTTCCACCCTGGGGGATAATTACTATCAGATCCATATCCTACGGAGCCATCAATGAATCTACTAGAAATAGAATAATCATCTTTCAATGCACCACATCTATAGCAGCTTGATCTGCTGGCATAGTTGTGAGCTCCACAGTTCATAGCCTTGCAATACCAGTCCCCTGCCAAGGCTTCAGTCCAGTTGTATCTATAGGTTGTTGGGTCAGGGCCTCCAAATTTGGGGTATCCACAACTTTGACATGCATCCCTCTTCTTGAAATTTATGTGCTGGCAAGCCCCACACATCCAATCTCCACCAGACCAGCTCATTTTTCCTGTTATTCATTTAATGTTATTTTTCATCAATCCTAAGGGTTGCCAGATGAAAAAGACACTCACATGACTTTAACTAACTGTGCACGTGTCCTATAACTCACATGAGAATGGGAAAAACTAATAAGGCTTCTCGTCTTATGAGTACTACAATTAAAGACATGCAAAGATATCCATAAAATAAAACTATGATTTGCATAGGCAACAATAATCTTAGTCATAAAATACTCTGTCGAGATAGCAAGTCTTGATAATTTTACAAAACGTTTAATATAAATTTCGATATGAATGAATTTTGGTTTTAAAGTGTGATTGCAGCCACGGTTGCATTTCGGACACTGCAAGCTGATGCAGGCAATTGCGACTAACGTAGTTCGCAATTGTAGTGTGATGTTTGGCAACCAAAATGTTGTGTAACGCAATTACACAATTTGAAACCTTGGATTGAACCATGAAGTTCCAATTTATAAAGGAAAATTGTATATAACATCCATGTATAGATATATTATTATTTGTGACATGATTTATAAAGCCACAAACAAGCAATTTACCTTGTAAAGAATAGTGAAAGTATGATGATGCAAGGAAATGATTTGTTGTTCTTAGTAGTTGTTTAAGAACAGCTTGTAAATCCCGATGGTGGGTTTGGTGCTTGGGTTGGGAGGCTTTATATACTTGATGATAAGAACTATTGTGTGGGGCTTATAAATTACGAGTATCTTTTTTAAGTTCCCTGGTAATCTCGATATCATAAAACCATCCCTTCTAAAAGCTTGAATGGTTATGTAAGCCCTTTATGGTCGAAAGGTAGAAAATGAGTAGGTTGACTTCATCTTGTGTTGAAATAATCTAACTCTTATTAGTAACCTAGTCATTGAGGTATGATGACACGCTGAAAATTAATCTATCAACAGTTAAAGTATTTATAGCATGTTTAGTTTCGGTTAATTCAAGAAACTAAGATGCACTTCTAGAAGCTCAACAATAAATTTAAATAAACATGCACTTAGAAGATCAAAAATAGTTTTATAACTAAGCATGAGTTCCTTGGGATAAGATTGCAAATGTACAAATTACAATGACTAAGACAAAAATGCTTTGGCACACTTCTGGTTGATTATTATTTGGTGAATCTCGCGTACATAGAAGTAAATAACTGAAAATGATTCACATTTTATTTGGTGAGACCAATATTAAATTTAATCAACAATACATTACATTGAACAAGTGCATCTAAAATGTTACTATTTCTCTCTCTCAGTTCTTCCCATTTTAAGGGGTGATTTTTTGTTTCTTTTTTCTCATCGAAACACATCTCGTGCATATTTATACTTTCCTCCATTTGGTCCTCTCCTCAGTTCTTTCCTCTCCATCCAAACACAGTGTAAAGGGTGAGAAACCATAATGTATAATTTCACACTTACTTTACACGATTCCATGCATTATTGAAGAACATATCCTGGGGAATGGGGATGTGAGGCGTTATGAGGGGAAGCTGTTATATGGCAGACTGCAAGGGAATCCAATATCCACTGAACCCGACCCACCTACTATCGCATCCCAGCACAAATACAGACAATTTATAATTAATTATTATCACTAAGAAAATTATCATTTATTAACGAACAAAATATATCACTCATTAAAGTTATAGTTTTTATTCTTAAACTTTAATTTTTTGTTATAATTTTTGTATTTAATTTAGTCATTCATGTTTAATTTTAATTTTAGTTGAGTCTTTTAATTTTTTTTTATTTGATATCTCTCTAAATTATCTTTTTAGTCAGTTTTTTAGATTTAAATTCTTAGCTCCTACTTTCTACATTTTTGTAATATTTTGATTTTATTTTCTAATTTTTTTTTTATATTTTAGTCATTAGTTTTTGTAAATTCAATATTTTGTTATCTTTAGTGATGACATAACTAATTAAACGTGTCATTTTTTGTTCCACCATATTAGTAAGAGGAATTGAAAGTGTTGAATTTCTAAAAATTAGATACCAAGACTTTCTAAGAATTAGATACCAAAACTTTGTTTAAGAGTTAATTTTTTAAGAAAAAAAGGGATGGAAAATGTTTATATGATGGGAAGCCATGTTTGGGAAGAGATTTTTAGAGGAAAAGGAAGTTGAGAGCATATTTTAATTTTAAATTAAAAAAATTATATATTATTTATGATAACAAATGCATTATTAGTATATTAAATTTTTGTTAACATTAATTTATATCGTTTATTTTAAAAAATATTAATTTTAAATATATTTATTTAAAATATAAATTTATACCTCCCCTCCAAAATTTTCCTTCTCAAACAACCCCATAAGTACATGTTCTTATTTATCTTACGTTGATTGTAAACCTTTCTTCTCTCTTCCTTACACCTCAAACCTTTCCTTTCTCTCTTTTCCCCTTTTTCTCTAAATTTTGAAAAAGTTTAAATAAAAAAATTTTGAAAAACTACCATCAAAATCTTACTAAAAATGAGAAACTAAAAATATATTAAGTGTTTTCTTTAACTTTATTTTATCTTTCATATTTTTTTTTTGTAGATATAGATAATATTTTGGCGTTTGATAATAAATAGAAGGATAGAGATTTGGGATTGGATCAATGATAATGGTTTTATAATTATCGTCAAGTGGTTAAAATAAAGAACAAAGAAGGGGTTGGTTAAAAAGGATATGCAGACATAAAAAAGTTTTTGGTTATCGTTTAAGAGTTTTGGACGTTGGTAGACTAGTAAAGTGTGGAGGAAGTGTACGATAAGAAAAGTCGTATTTCAAAACGTTATTATTTAGAAATCTTTAGTTAAGTTGAAGGACAAAATAATGTTTAATAAAAGAACTGACACGAAACAATAATTTATAAGACTATTTCTTTTTTTTTTTAAAAAGTTAAAAGACCTTAACTAAAATCTAAAGACAAGTGCTAAATACTTTAAATTTCTTTTGCAACAATTCAACAAATATATTGTGTTACAATTTAATGGGTTTAAATAATAAAAGAGATTTTGGCAGAAATCAAAGAAATGGAGATATATAACTATTTCGTCACTTTTGGTGTTTTATTTTCGTCTGAGCAACAATTTTGAAATTTAAATTAATTTTTAGCCTTGGAGACAAGATTGACGGTTAATATTCATTATATTTATACTAACAATTTAATTTCTATTAATCAAATATTATATTAGCAAATTGTTAATTTATCATCAAACTATTAGTAAATAGTTTTTCAGTTTAAGTCTCTCTTAATTCTCTCATAAGGTAAGTGTCTACCAGTCAAATGTGTCTTTCTTTATGGTGCTGGATTAAGGTACAGTAGTTGGTTGAAAACAGACTAAAATCTCCTATACTTGAAACTCATCCAACTTGCAAATAAGCCTTCTCAGTGCTTTAATTAGTGAGTGAAATGAAAATGATTATGGGGAATTGATTCCTATCTCATGCACATCCATTATCATGTTCTTTTCCCCTTGCTTAAATAACTTTATGGCAATAATGGAAATGCCATTCTAAGATTCATATCCAGCAACCAACATCAATCCTTGGTTTCCCTTCACTCCACTAAATGCATGTCCAAAATTTAGGGTAACATGAACTCCAATTATAGGCCACAGGATAGGATTCTCCTTATGGTTCCTCACGCATATCTTGACGTAGTAGCATAGAAAGAATACAATAGCATGGCTTTCAACCTTTATCTTACTACTTTGAGATGTTTCTTTCTTTATTTTATTAGTAAAGCTAAGTAAGGCCAAATCAAATGTTTTCAGAATAAGGATTGCGGCGAGCAGACGCCGTCTGAAAGGACACCTGAACCTGCCCATCTATTTTATTAACAATAATATAAAAAATGTCGTAAAGTCCAAACTAGAATCCTATGCAAGAGTGTTAGAATCTTATTTAGATGTTCTTGAAGACCTATCTTTTGGTTGATAATTCAAAAGTTCACACTTATATTGAACATTTTACCTGCATATTATCCAATTACTGGTGTGTTTTTGAATGAAATAAAACAAAGTATGAGAATAATAAAATATATACTGCTCCAATGAGTAAATATAACAAAAATTAATAAAAATATATATATTTTACTTTTCTAGATGAAAATAAATAAATAATAAAAATATTTAATAATTAAAAAATAATCTCACCATCTTTCCCCTACTTTGAGAATATTTTTATAAGACTATATTTTATCTCTGCACCCATTCCCTCCCCCAACCAATTTCGTCGGTTATTTGTTAGTGCATGTTATTGAATAAAGTGATTCCTATGCGATTCTCCACTTGCAACTTTATTTTAGCTTACTAAGATGTCACAATACACCGTCCGCGCGCACTGCTAAAAAAAATCATTTACTGACATAATAAAAGTTAATCAATGTTAAGGTAGTCTTTGTTAATATAATTTTTGTCTAACAAAAACTAAATTATTAGTATAAATTTAAAATATTTAATTATACTAACAATACGATATACTACATTAACATTAACAATCATTTTATTAGTAAAACTATTACTATATACTATTAGTAAATCAAATATTAATATAAATATAATTTATTACTTTAAACTTTAAAAACATATTTTACTAATTTAATTTTTAGACAAACATTATGTGACATTCTTTCTCTTTTAACTATTTTTTTATTTTATATATAATTTTTAATAAATTTAATTAAAATAAACAAAAAAACATGAATAATTTTAGAAAAGTTTATATTTATATAAATCTAATACTAATTTTAGTAAATTTTTGAAATTTTACACATAAGTCTCATATACAGTAAAGATGAAAACTGATCTTCGTAATTTAAATTCTTAACTACAAGTGAATGTAAATTACTAGTAAAATAATTACTTATTAAATATTACAAATACTTCTTAATTTATTATTTATAACAAGATTTATCGAAATAATTACATATTTTAAAAATTAACATTTAAAATAGTTATATATCATTTTCAATTTTTATGAAAATTAAAAAAAATTATAACAAAATCAAAATAATTGAAGTCCTAACAGAGCAAATCTTTTCTTATAATACAACTAAGAATATGATCTTAGAATAGATTAATCTTTCTTATCACATTATTCTGGTTTACTTTCTTTATTTCTTCATTTTCATTACCTAAAAATAATTCTAAGGAGGAGTATTTTCGTCTCACTAAATCCTCATTCTATAAAACAATCAAATAATATAGAAAATATTAATTCAGTATAGTATATATATTAAAATAAGAACAACTTATTCATAAAAATTTCATTCAAAATCACCAAGACACAAATTTCACACTCAACCAAATTTTGATTATACAATCCTTGAATTCATACCACTTGACTATTTCAATTTCTATAGATCTATCATTTATCATACTTTTTGTACTCACGGGCTCCTAAATTGCTGCCAATATACTTTTTCTGTTTATTAAGGAGCCAACATGGATAGTCGTCGGTTAACCACTATACACAGATACAACATGTTTGTTATACGGTACCGTAAAAAGGCATAATTAAAAGTGTTAGTTAGGAAATGAGTGTAAAGTCATGTGATGCTTTCACTTGCTTTCACTTTCAATCGTGTACACATTAGCGAATATCATTCACCACACTTATTTATCTCAAATTTAAAAAATTGACTCCTTATTCCATACCTCCAATGTATCTCTATAATTATCTATGCAGGAACTTTCTGCACTAAACTTATCCATATGAATACTTAACAGTGGCATTTGTACAGGGCCGTTCTTGACCTTTTTGGAACCCTAGGCAAAATAGGAAATTAGGGCCCTTTAAAAAAATTATAAAATGTAATAAACAAAATAAAAGCATATGTTAATAATTTTATTAAAATAATAAGCTTTTTTAAGTGGCTATAATTTTTTCTAATAAAATTATAA